ATATATATACACACACACAAACACGCATGTACTATTTAACTATAATGCTATAATTTAAATATTGTATGTTTTTAACAAAATGTTTAGAACAATAGTCTTACTTAGTCAAACTCTGAGTCCACTACCAGGTACCTCATATTTTCTATGTAGTAGTAAGTAAAAGGAAATAGGTTTAGTTTGTTCATTTAGAATTGTTAATTTAGGCAGTTTAATATTGCATTTAATTTTTAGATATTTGTTTGCAAATTAAGCATTGAATAAGTGTTATCAGTATTGTTAATTTCTACTTAGTATAATTTAGTATAACTTTTTTTAATTAAGATGATGTAATGATGACAATGAAGTTACTTTATTATGATGATGGTAAGTTTTTTAGAAGAATAGTCTTACTTAGTAAGTTACTCTGAGCTTAGATAGCTATGATATTATCTATGAAGCAATAAATAAAGTTAAATAGACAGCAGTTTGTGTACATTTTTATAGCGTATCAATTAAACAATATTTTTAATATATTGAAATGAATTAAAAATAGCAGTTAACCAATAAATTAGCTTATAAAAATCTTTACGTATATTAAGCAACAGTAAAAAGTAGAAAATTAGGATTGATTTGTTACTTTTTCAATACAAGTTATAAATTATATATTTATTTACTACTTAAGTAGTATACTTAAAACTAATTATTAGTTTTAAATTTCAATTTAAATGTTAAAAGTCTGGATTTTGAATTTTTTTTGTTAAAACACTTGATTGTTTTTTTAATTTTTAACAAAAACATTTCTATTGTTTTGGCTTTTAGTGACTCCAGAAGATTACAATCCACCTGGTTTTAAGGTCAGTCAAAATAAATGTATAAAATTTTATTTTTAACTCCCAAACATTTTATGAAAATGTTTTTTGTTTTTTCATATGAAAAAACTTTTTAAATTCATTCAAATTTTTATTAGTTTTTGTGCCATTGGTAAGAAAGTGCCATTGGTAAGGAAGGAGACATGAACTTCCTGTTTAAATGCTTTATTCTTTATTTTTTGCACATGTTTTGTTTGTGTCCCTTCAATTGGCAACTGTTTTGGCAACATTTTGTGGGAATGTAGTAGCTAGGGCTGTTAATGGGTTAGGTCTAGGTTTGGTATCAATAAACCCATACCCAACTTGTAGAAACAGGGTTTGGATCTGGTATCAACGAACCCTACCCAGATCCTCACCAATTTACTTAATGAGGCTAGGGCAGGTCTGTGTTCAGATCTGCCAACATCATGTAAAAACAAGAACAAAAGTAGTGTGTAGCGTTACTGGGTGTGAGCTATTAAGTGCGTGTGTCATCATGGCTGCTAACAGTTAAGGGGGCATCCATAAAGTACATGCGCAGAAAAACCACTAGTTTAAGACCTCTCCTCCCCCATTGTATTTACCTTTATGCTTTTAACAATCCCCTTCCTCTGACTCTTTATGCATTATTTATTACAAAATCAGCCTTCTTTTCTCACCAGTTGTGAGACTCAATGATTTTGTTAAAATAAAATAAAAAATCAGGTTTTAGGAGAGATAAACATCTAGAAATATTAAAACCATGTACGTGCTGGCTGTTTTTAACACACACACATCCTTCCTTGTACAAATTTAAAAAGTTTATTGAAGGTCCCTAAGGGTTAATTAAAGTTGTTTTTCTCAGCTTTTAATGATTAAAATACTTATACAAAATTAATACTTTTTTATGGCTAACTGCTAAAACTAAAGCAGTTAGCCTAAAAAAAGTAGAACAATGTGTGAGTATCCTAGAGAAAAAATAATAGTGTCTTGTGTGTCTTCCTTATAAAATGTAGCTTTTATATGATTTTTATTAAAAAAAGCTTATAAAACTTTTTTCCTAGTTATTTAAGTGATCCAAGAAGACATAAAAGATGTGTCACAACATGGCAGAACTACACTTATCTAAAAATTTCACACTGCTTTTCACAATAATGTTGCCATTATGGTCAGAGCAGAACTCAAAGATATTTAATCTGATTTGTGAACTTCTTAAAGCATCATTTGTTTATATTGGCTTATATATCTAATAATTATATCAGAAAATTTATGCAATCTAAGGTTCTGAATAGCATTAGTTTAAAAAATGTTGGTCAGGTCTAGGTATAACATGTTATGTTGGATATTATAAGACCCATATCTAACCCATTTGGTTATAGGGTTTCACAGTTCTGGAACTGGCAGGTTTCAGGTCCATTATAAAGAGACCAAGACCCAGTTTAAATAAGTCGGGTCTGAGTCTAGACCCAACCCATTAACAGTTCTAGTAGTAGCTATTCATATTTTTCAAATTATAATAAGAATAATAATCAATTTTCTTTCAAAAGCATTGGCCAGAAGGTCAATTTTAGGCTGGCATGCACAATTTTAAAAATTCATCTTTTTTTTCTACTTAAATTAAAAACAATGAAAATAATGCTTTGATATGATAATTAAAAAAAAAAAAAAAACAGGCAAAACCAACGTGTTATTTTAATTCTAGGTAAAATAATTAAAATTAAAATATAAAAAAGAAAATATGAAAAACGTTTTATGTAAATATTAAACAATATAATTACAGTAAAAATGGAAATGAAAGCAATTTTTTATAAAAGTATTTGATCAACAAAAAAAAGATTTGTTGCAATTTTAAAAAAATTCTTTTTATTTTTTTGCAAGCGTTTTCCAAAGATTTTGTGGGCATGTGGGCGAGTTTAAAATGGCTGAGTTCGAACATTTTGAGCAAATTTTCAAATTTGCTTAAAATGTTAATATGTAGGTTGTGTTAAAAAGCGCCAAATGCAAATCTTGTTTTAGATATACTTAAAAGAATTAAAAAATCAGCAAGGCATTTTTTTATCTAAATTTAAAAAGAAAATGTTAATAATTTTTTTGTTTTTCGCAGTTTGCAATTATGTTATTTTTTAGAAAAACCCCATGGTTTGTGAAATTAAAATAGAAAAAAAAGCAGGTTAAAGAATGAAGAAAAACTAGAAAATAATCAGGTAGCCATATGTTGGCAAATGTTTTCCCAACATATGCCTATGTTATTAAATACTAATTTTGAGTTCAAAATATTTCTGAGATAAGAAACTTAACAAAGACAAAGGAAACTGTTGCTGAACTTTCACAAATAGTTGCAGAAAGTTGAAAAGCAAATAGTTGAAAAATTATGAATCAATGCATCAAATTCAATTACCAATTATTGAATTTTGAGAACACTTTGATAAGCAATATTGCTTTGATAAGCTATATGGTTTGATAAGCTATATGGCTAACAATAGCAAATCTGTTATTGCATATTTTTGTTTCTATAATAGCTCCTGAGAATTCGATTATTCTTGTAACATATAATGAAGGTGTATACACCTGTCTGGTTTTTAATTAAAGGTAATTAGTTCTCACTATTTTGCTGACGATCTAAAACCAGTAATTTGTCCAGTAAGATCCATGCTTAATTTGCACTTTAGTGTGTGTGTATTCTTTTGAACAAGTGGGAGAATATTGGAGAGCTTACTATCAGGGACATTCTTAATGCAAAATTTAACCAATATGGTCTCAATAGATTTAAAATTTCAAAATTTAACTTTGCTGCAGAAGAGTATATTAGTCTTATTGGTTGGCAAGATAGTATAATTTCTAAAACCTCAACTACTCATAAGGTAATTTTTTACATTACAATGGCTCACTCTAGTTTATGTATGCATCTTACATAGTAAACTTTTAATAACTTGAATCCTTGATAAATCAACCAGTAACTTGCATTTTTAAATTCCTGTTGAACCAAAATTCTTATAAAAATTACTCCAAAACTCAAACATTCACTTAGTTGAACCTTTTACTTTGTCTCTCAAAGCTTTGAAATATTGGGAGTTTACTGTATATCGTTTACATATACATCTTACTCCATTCAACATCTCCTGTACATTTTTTGGGGTGTCTAAATTGAGGAAAAGTTGGATATGTTCCAATAAAGCTTATCTTAGTTATGATAATTGCATCCTGCCTTTGTTCACTTCTTCTTTAAAAAGCCTTGTAAGCAAAGAACTAATTGAAAACAAAAATAATAAACATTAAAAAGTATTGATGTCACCAAATTGATAAAATGTATCTTTTTCCATAATCTTCAAATAATTTTTTTTCATCAACTTTAAACGGGCTTTTTATTTAGTCTTAAGTTAATTATGGAAACTTAACCCATAATTTAACATAGTGTACAACATTTAATATTTAATTGTTAATGTTACCTTTTTTTTTTAGGATTGTAGTCTTGATAATTTCAACTTTAAAGATGAACCAATGAATATTAAAGTAGGAGATGTTTCCACTGTAAGTATATTATATATATATATATATATATATATATATATATATATATATATATATATATATATATATATATTTGATAAAAAAACATGTTCGGTTATCGGGTGAACACAGAAATATCCGGTCAACTTCAAATTGAGATTTCTATTAAACCAAAAATGCTTTTTATTTCTTTTATTTTTTTTTGTTAAATGTTACTTCCTTATCTTTAATTGAGAGAGTAAACTTGTTTACAAATCAATGATTTGCAAAATGTTTCGGAAACAAACTGAAGTGTGTAAAAAAGTTGTGAATTTTTTTTTTGCAAAAACTTATCGACTTGATATCACTTGATTGCAAAACATACAAATGTCCCAAAATCTACAGTTATAGATATTATGAATAAGTTTAAGGCTACTCAAAGCTTCGAAAAAAAACATTATGGAAATGGAAGAAAGAAAACTTTTTATAAATCTAAAAAGATAAAGTTGATTCTCAGTTCAATAGCAAGAAATCCAAACCAGTCATAGTGTGATCTAGCAAGAGAATTCAAGACTTAGTGTTCTTACATCAAAAAAGTACTTAAAAATGCTGGAATTTGACCCGCAAAGAAGTTGGTTAAAATAATGGCGGATAAAAGTATGTGCATAATTGAAAATGGCGAAACATTTTGCAAGGCAGATTTTTTATAACTTATTGGCTAATAATTTTACTATGAGGTATTAACAAAGGTAAACCTGTCGATGATCAGTTTAAATATATTCGATGAGAAAAATTTGCATCCAAGTCTTTTGTGTGGCAAGAGATTTGTAGATGTGATATACAGTCCCCTTGTTTTGTTACTAAGAAGACCTTGACTACCGATCTCTACATCAAAGGATGTCTCTAAAAAAGACTTTTTCTTTTTATAGAAAAACACAAATACCGATGTCTCTTTTATCCAGATCTTGCTGCTACTTACTATTCTAAAAAAGTTTTACAGTGGTGCAAAGATAATAATGTGAAAACTGTTCCTAAAAATGCGAATCTTCCAAATTGTCCTGAAGAGGGCAAGATTATAGATTTTTGGGCAATATTTAAAGGAGTTCTTTGTAAGGCGGGTGGAGTAACAAAAAATAAAAAGGAATTCCAAAAAAAGTGGATTAATGCCACCAATAAGGTGATAAAAGAAAAAATCTGCGAAACGATAGCATCAACCTGCTATAAAAGTTGATCTCTTGCCAAAAAGCCCAGAAGCCCCTTAAAATTAAGTTGAAATCCTATTTGATGTAAACACATATAATTAAAAAAAAAATGGAAATAAAAAGTATTTATGGTTTTTATTTCCATTTTTTTTCCAGTATTTACTCCAATGGTGTGTCATCACTAAGTTACCACTGTCGCAATTTAAGACATTTTCCTGCGATTTAGAGCACTGTAAGCGTTGTATTTCAATTGCTTCTCAAATCTTACGTGTATAGTTGTTAGGAGTTATATAAATACTTTTAGGTTTACTCCAGTTAATTGAACCACGACAATGTTGGGCGTGTTCAACTATTCCTGATGCGTCCCTGTTAACTTTAGCTATGTTTTTCTCGTGTTCATTAACTCATGTAGAAATTTTTTTTCTAGTTTTGTTGACAACTCGCACCACAAAAACAATCTAACTGAAAGACACCAGGAAAATTATTTGGATGCAATATTGATTTATTGCAACATAAAATATTAAGTAAAGGACTACTCTAGGGAAAAACGGTTTTTATACCTGCTCTACCTACTCTATAAAACTCTCTTTTAAGTATAATGCTTAGTTTCGGTATCCACGTCAGAATGACAATTTTTACAGAGTCTATTTGCTGGTTCATTGCATTTTTATATGATAGTTTATAGTTTTTGGCAATATCTGATAATTGTTTCTATGAATATTCATTTTGGGAAAATACATTAACGAGAAACTCAACTTCATTCTGAATATTTTGTTCTGAACATATATTATATGCTCTTGAAAAAAAACCTTTAAAAATATTTATTGCTATATTAGGTGAAAATGAAGAATGTGGTTTAACTAATACATTAGTAATTGCTTGCTTACTATTTATCGAAAATTTGTATTTATGAAGAACTTTTATCATTAAAAAAATGCAATAAACCAGAAAATAAACCCTGGAAAAATTGTCATACTGATGTGGATACCGAAACTAAGCAATATACTTAAAAGAGAGTTTTATAGAGTAGGTATAAAAATCGTTTTTCGCTATAGTAATTTTTTACTTAATATTTTATGTCGCAATAAATCAATATTGCATCCAAATAGTTTTCCTGGTGTCTTTCAGTTAGATTGTTCATGTGGTGCGAGTTATGCAGACAAAACTAGAAAAAAAAATTCCACATGCATTAATGAACACAAGAAAAACATAGCTAAAGGTAACTGGTATGCATCAGGAATTGTTGAACACGCCCAACATTGTAGTAGTACAATTAACTGGAGTAAGCCAAAAATTATTTCTAATACTCCTAACAACTATACGCGTAAGATTTAAGAAGCAATTGAAATACAATGCTTACAGTGCTCTAAATCGCAGGAGAATGTCTTAAATTGCAACAATGGTAACTTAGTGATGACACGCCATTAAAGACTACTTTTTGTTAAACTTAACAAGTCTAAATCTGCTACATTACAATGACATTATTTTAGTTTTTATGAATTTTTTATAACAGTTTTTTTAGTTTGATAATGGCTTATAATATATAAGCCGAAATATCGCTATTAAATCATAAAAATAATATATAATCAAACATGTTTTTTATCAATTAAGTATAAAATATATTAATGATGTCACTTGAACAATATATATATATATATATATATATATATATATATATATATATTATATATATATATATATATATATATATATATATATATATATATATATATATATATATATATATATATATATATATATATATATATATATATATATATATATATATATATATATATATATATAATTGGCTTACTGCATACTCTAAGTTTTTTTTTATTTTTTTATTTAGCAATACCATTCGTAAGTATATATCTTTTTTTTTTATTGAATATGTTTTAACTAATAAGTTTAATTAATAATTTAATATAGAATTAATTACTTAATTTTTGCTTTTAAATTGTTTTAAAATAGTTAAAATCGAAATTTACTTTTTCCCATATAATTTTATTTTTATAAGATTGATTTTTACAATAAATTAAACTGATATTAAATTTTATTGACAATTTACTTTTAATAAAAAAGCTTTAAACTTCGAATCAAAACATCTCATCATGACCTACAAGTAGCTGATGAAAATGACACTGTTGTGCCTGAGCCAGAAGAACAATATGAAGATGGAAACAAAACTAGTTTATACCTAGTAATTAAAATTTATTAGATTTATACTTTTATCAATAGTTATATGGATATTTATAAATGATTATGAATTTATAAATGATTATAAAATGATTTAATTGATTATTAATATAATTGGATTTAGTAAAAACTTTTAATACAGTGCTTATTATAGCAATCTTTTCATGAAGTAGTTAATCAAACTTTTCATGAAATAGTTAATTTTTTAACCTGTTGTACCATTTATAAATTTATAATTTGTAATAACTAAAATTTTTTTGATGCAATATAAAAAACAATAACAACATATTTTCTCAAAAAAAAATTATATTGATTTATTTTATTAGGACACCAATGATGATGAGAAGCCACCAAGTAAGATTTTAACACAATTATATGATCTATAGTTTTTAAACATGTTTAGTATGTTTTAATGTTTTTATTTTTAAAATATATGTTTGTAGAAGTATGTTTATGTATATGTTTTGTATGTTTTAGAAGTAGTACAATGGTTCAATATATATGTACTATTATTTTATATACTTATTTATGCTGAATTTTATTGTTGTTTTTTTTAAAATTGTTGGTTATTTAAAGTAAACTTCAGTTATGAAATTTTTTCAGTTAAAATCACCTGTATGCATAATATAATAAAACCAAGTTGAGAGTATATTAGGTGTTGACTTTAGCACTTTTGGTAATTCAATAAATGTTCATTTTAACATGTATGTTGTAATGTGTATGACATACCAGAATTGATTTGGATAGTTGCTTTGTACTGAACAAATCACTATACTTAGACTGTTAGTGTTACACAGCTATAGCTGGCGTCAAACCTCTGACCACTAGGTTCTAAGCCAGAACTCTCACTACTGCGCCACTGCTGTTCTTGAGATCTTAGTGTTGATGGTTTTCTTACTTTAATTCATAAAGACTCCAATAGTCACATGCTTGGCCTGGGCATTTACATTCATAAGAATTCACCCATTTGTCAGGAAACAAAGTTTTAATCCACAGACTTTCGTGTGCTTTTGTTTAGCACCACTTCACTCTTTTTCATTGTTCTATATTGCTCTCCTTTATCCCAAGTTAGCAGTCTTTTTGATGTTATTTCTCATCAATTTGACTAAGCCCTTTCTCTTTATCCTTCAGACAATATCGTTGTTGTTGGTGACTTAATTGATCATCACACTTAGTTCTAGTGTCAGTGACTCTGACAGTAGAACCCACAACTTGCAATTTCTAACACAAATAATCCAGCTCCTTTTCCAGACGATCGAAATCATTTACCTTCTCTACTTGACTTATGTCTTGTTTCTGATCCTATTCAGTGCTCAGTTTCTCCACATACACCCTTAGATGCTTCTGATCATGGTTTGATCTCTCTAAAACTATTATCTCGTTCTTCTTCATCATTATAATCCCCCTATCATCGTACCTCTTACAATACCTTAAAACCAACCCCTTGGAATTAGAAAAAATGAAGTCAGCAATAATTGGCGACCTTAATCTTTTAAAGGTTGGCTTCAGGTTGGCAAAAAGAATTTGATTCAAAGTATTTACTATAAAACATAGAAACAAGGTCAGCAGTTTTTTGGCAACCTCAAACACTTCTAGGTCAGCATTGCCGAGTGCTAAACCTAATTCCGTGGGTTGCTTAAAACTGACTGGGATTCCCTGATTTTTTTCAAGATATATAGAGTAGAAATCTTTTGTCTTCCATCTGACAAATGTGCTTCTTATGTAACTTTTTGGATTCAGGCTGTTATGGAATCTTTTATTCCATCTTGACGGTCCAAGCCTTACTCTTATCCATGGTTTTCCTCTCATTGTGCTGCTGCTATTTTCAATCTGAGCCATTACTTCCATATCTATCGCCAAACTTTTTGGATTCACTCTGACATGGAATCTTTTGTTCCCTCTTGACAATTCAAGCCTTACTCTTTTCCATGGTTTTCCAATTATTGTACTGCTGCCTTTTTCAATCTGAGCCATTACTTCCATATCTATCACCAAAACAATATCTCCAGTTCAGAAAGCAGATGTCTGTTTACTATTGCTAGAAACTATTGTAAAATGTTTTGTCTAATGCTAAAGCCCACTATTCTCAGGTCACAAAATCTCATAATTCGTTTGAAAAATTAGGCTCCTGAGACTTCTGGAGAATCTTAAGCAGTGTCTATATATGGGCAAATCTGTTATTCCTCCTCTCTTGCATGGTTCAGATATGTTACTTAACCTAAAGACAACGCTGAATTGTTTGCTAAGAACTTTTCATCAACCTAATCTCTTGATTCCACCAATCACATCCCACATGATGTAGCCTACAAACAGGTTGATCGATTACTTGACATTTGTATCATCCCAGCTTCTTTATCTAAAGTGATTTCCTGCTTAAACTTCTATAGCTAGTAACCCAGTAAACATACCTGTTTTAGTCTTGCGAAAGTGTTCTCTGAAGCTGTCATCTATACTTTCAAATCTATTTAACATGTGCTTATCAGAGTCTTGTTTTCCAGCCTGCTGGAAAGCAGCATTTGTTATCCCTATTTCCAAAAACTGAAAGAGTGGTCTGATTCTTCTAATGCTGTCCCATTAGTCTTCTAACTATTATAAGCAAGGTTTTTGAGTCTTAATTTAACAAACAGGTAATCTCTTATATTAAATCTAATAACTTACTTTCTAATCATCAATATGAATTTCGATCTTCTCATTCTATTGCTGAGTTGTTAACAATAATAACTGATAGTTTTTATTGTGCGTTAGATAGATGTAGAGAGGTTAAAGCTACCGCTCTTGGCATTTCTAAAGCCTTTGACAAAATTTGACATGCTACCCTTCTCCGTAAGTTCTCTTCTTACAGTGTATCAGGTAACATTTTTAAGATTATTGAATCCTTGCTTACTTATCGTAGTATAAAAGTTGTCCTTGGTTGACAGTACTCTTTTTCATTTCCTGTAACTTCATGGGTTCCTCAAGGTTCTATCTTTGATCCTATACTTTTTTAAATTTACAATAACGATCTCACATCTAAAGTGGCATTGTTCACTGATGATACTACAATTTATTCTTGTCTTGATAAAAAGCCAACACTCTCTGATTGCTTGGAAGGCATTTTTCAAGCATTTGAGCTTGAAAAGGATCTCACTTCTGCTACAGCATGGAGCTCTCAGTGTCTGATGAGCTTTAACTCTAATCTTTAACTTTAAGATAAAACTCAATTTTTTTCAGCTAATCGTTATCCCAACAATCTAGATCTTATTTATGAATGGTAATGTACTCAATGAGTCATCTACCCTTCATCTTCTAGGATTAACTCTTACTTTTGATCTTTCTTGGAAACCTTATATCAAATTCATTGCTAAATTAGCATCTGCTAAAGTTGTATCTTTTTATTGTGCTTGCTATTTTCTTACTTTGGGTTCTTTTTTTAAACATTATCAGTTATTAAAATAAGTTTTATTTTAATAACTGATAAGGTTTAATTCATTAAAAATTTAACAGTTTTTTGTAATTAAATTTATTTTCTAATGACTTGGCAAATTAAAATTTTCATAATATAGTTATACCTTTACATATTATTATTTTATATTATTGTTATTATGTTTAATTTAGTACTCTTTCTGTTACAGATGCTGTGCATCAATTAAGTACAAGACAATCAACACCTGCATCATCTTTAGTTCAAGATGAAAATATTGTTCAGGAAGTCAAATGTCCTTGTGGTGTAAATGAGGTTGATATGACACTTATTGATATTATTATATATATGTATGTGTGTGTGTGTGTGTGTGTATATATATATATATATATATATATATATATATATATATATATATATATATATATATATATATATATATATATACATATATATATATATATATATATATATATATATATATATATATATATATATATATATATATATATATATACATATACTGTATATGTATATATATATATATATATATATATACATATACAGACCTCGGCAGGAGAAAATAAGCGTGAGAGCCAAGAAAAGCTCTCCTAAATTGAACATTGAGAGCCATGCGACCTGCTCCTCTAAACTGCTTGTTATGAGAGCTTTTGGTTTTTGCACAAGCTATCTGTTTATTTATATAAAAATTGCTTATTAAATACAAAATTTGGATTTATTCTTGTTACAAGCATATCTTTGTAGCGTTAATGTTACAATAAGGAACAAAATTACAATTTGACAAAGCAATTTGTTAAAATTTGACAAGCAATTTGTTGTTTGTTTACATTTATTTTGCTCCATGAAATGCTCGGAAACATACATTATTAGCTACGCATAAATATACTTTGCATTTGGTACACTGATATTTAGTTTTCTTTTTTCACAGTTCGTATTTGCAACGTTATGAATTTGAGTTCTCCATTAGAGCTGGCCAATTCAAATTTATCAAGATGAATGTCAATTGGAATATCATTTGCTCTCATAGAACGTGTTTCTGGCAATTCATTATGATCCTCTTCTGGTAATTGGTCAACTCCATTAATCAGAGAGGTACACACGTCAGCTAAGAAATGAACAAGTGGTTTATTTCCACCAATCTGGCGGAAAATCACCCAAGCATTGTTCGCTACCAAACTGAACAGATGAAATGCAACTCGGTGATACCACTTTCTTGATCTGTATTTTGTACGATAGAGTGACAAAAGCATATCTGCTTTGTCAACACACACACACCCATAAAAGTGTTGTAAGCTTTGACAGCGGCAGGTCGACTGACATCAATTTTTTTTTTCCTATTTGTAATACCTCTAACATGTGTCAATAGGACCTTTGTCGATATAGTTTGATAAAGTGAGCACACATTTGTTGTCATACCAAGCTGTTATTAAAATTTTTGAGGAAGAATCAATAAACTGTTCAATGTAACCACGATCTGATTTTTTTATTTTAGATTTATTTGGAATCATGCATGCTTGAGATCAATTTGCATTCAATGTAGACAAAGCCCAAACTTTCTTAGTATCTCTTAGGTATACTGCTAGCTCTGGTGATGCAGAATAATTGTTAAAAAAAAGTTGGTGTGCATTAGATAAAAGATCATTTGAAAGGCGCACTATAACAAACGCACTCTCACCACATCCATTTGGAAGATCACATCCTTGAGGAGGACCATTTGCACCAAGACCACCTTCAACTTCAAAATCATAAATGTACCCAGAAACTCCTGCTTTCGCCCACAATTTGTAACCCCACTTTTTTGGTTTCTTAGAAAGATAGTGTTTCAAAGAATGAGCTCCTTTGAAAGGAATGATTTGTTCATCTATTGACATATGAGTTTCTGGTTTTATGATTTGAAGAAACTGTAGTCGGAAATGATTTATTAATGGCTTAACCTTGAAGCTTTTTATGTAATTTTCACTATCCTTGTTGAGGATGTTGTTATTATTATTAAAATGTATCATTGATAAAATCTCATCAAATTGGTTGATTGACATGGATAATGCAATAAAGTCATTTCGTGTTCTTGATTTCCAATACATTCTTTGGTTGGGTAGTTTTATAATTCCCATGTATAAGACAATGCTGATGACAACACTTATTTCTTGGCAGCTTATTTCTTTTACTCTGCGCGCACTATGCTGTAGATTTCTCCATTCATTGTTCAAAAGAGTTCGTTCCAATATAAAGTCAATAAGTTTTGTGGTGAGATATAGATGGTAAAATTCAATTGAATAAGAATAGCGTGAGAGGCCCAAATGTTCTGGAAAAGCGTCAGTATTTAGTGATAACTTTTGGCTATCTTGAAAATCAGAAGGCAAAGTCCATTTCTTGGTCTGTTTTGGCCATTTTACTGCATCATGAGTTTTTTGCTTTTTTCGAAATTGTAAAACAACTTCCTCTTTCTCATCTTCCTTATTCTCATCTTTCTCATTCTCATCTTCCTTATTCTCATCTTCCTCCTCACTAGTTTCTATTTCAATATCAAGTTCATTGTCATCAGAAGATTCCAACTCGAGTTCGTCTTCACTTACGTTACCTTCAGGTAAAGGTTGTATATTATCTTTTTTCTTTTTCAAGCCATAAAACGTTCTACAAAGTGGAAAATAATAATAGTATTTTTCTTGTATGCATAACTTCCACAAATATGAATAAACATTGTAAAAAAGCTTTTTTCCATTGACATTTTGATCTGTTTTTATATTTATTTATGTGCTTAAATATGAATTACAAAATCTAATAAGTGTTTACATAATTAGTTCTTTTATTATCATTAAGACCAAAATAAGAAAAATAAAGATAAAAAACTCCTTAAATGCATAATGTCCATTGTAATGGACAAATTAGGAATTTGTTAGTCAGAAACTGCATAAAAACTTATTATATTATACATATTCAATATATTTTTTATGACAAAGTTTTTTTCAAGCACAGTACTAAATTTTAAAATGTCCATTTAAATGGGCGCCATGCATTAAAGGGTTAACCCTTTAATGCATGGTTAACCCTTTAACCCAGGCTTGCGGAGCTGACTGTTTTTTTTTTACAGCTCAGCTTCAGCTCCTAAGAATTATCCAGCTCGGCTCCGGCTTCCGAACTTTATCAACTTGAACAAAAATTGCAAGTTTTGGAATATTTTTTTGATCATATTTGCTAACCCAAAACTATACCAGTTACAGCAATTAGTTTTTTAACAACTCACATGATTATAAAGTTATTGGATTACTATCACTACTCTACTACCGAATATTATATTTGAAAAGAAAATTGTTTTGGGTAAATAAACACTTTTTTTCTATATATTATTTACCCATGCCCACTGGGTATCTAGTGGGCACGAGACCTAAAAAAGACGTATTTTGAACATTCAAAAGACGTTCAAATGCTTCAAAGACAATTAAAAGACCTCTTTTGTAAGTCCTGTGTCCACTTGGTAAAACATGCGATCATTAAAATCAAAACAATAAAAAAAAAATAGTTCAACTAATGCAAAAGCTTCAATATTTGTTTTAATCTAAGGAACTTGAAGATTATAAAAGTGCTTTTTATTTTAATATTTTTCATTATTTCAAAGAAATTATCGACTACATCAACTTTTGCACAATGAAAATTATTGAATTTAAGATTATTTTACATTTGTTTTTAAGATACTTGTACAGTATTGCATTAATTTTTTGCACTTGAGTCAATGAATTACCAAAATATAACTTCATTTTGATGTATGAATTTGATGCAACATTCTATAAGGATCTTTAAGGAATATTATTAAAAATAAAGGAATCTTATTTTTAAAATGTAATTTAAAATCTGTTATAGTTTAAAATATTTTTTGTCAAGGATGATGGATTAATGATACTTTGTGCTTCTTGTAATACATGGCAACATGCTACATGCTTTGCGATTTTAAAGCCAGATGAAGCTCCTGATACTCATTATTGTGTTGATTGCTCAAAGGTAAGTTTTAATTTTGAGCAATGTTTTTTTTTTTTTTTTTTTTTTTTTTTTTTTTTTTTCTCATTGTTTCTTTTATGTTAAATCTTCAAGAAATGGTTAAAATTATTTTTTTATCAAGTCTGTGGTATAATAGAGATATTATTTTCTAATTTGTTATCAAAATTGGATTTTGTATAGTGGTTTGTTGTAAAAAAACAGCCCGTTTTAAAATTTAGGAGTACTTAAAATTACAAATAAATTAACATTATAATATTGTTACTTATTAGACTTTAATATTGTACCGAATTTTAGATTATTGCATTATTATAAGTATTTTAAATGTATTTTTATGCTTTAAGAACAATGGCTTTAACTGCACTGATCAGCGACTTAAGGATATAGATCAAGTGTCAAGTTTAAAGGTAAAATAAAATCAATTTAAAATACCCTAATTAAATAGTTAAAACATATAATTTAAAAAATACTTTTTAGGCTGTTTGTTTATGGCGCAGAACATTAGTGGCAAGTCTTGAAACCACAAGAATTCTAGCTCCTAATCTTTCAAAAAGACTTGGTAAAATTATTGTTACCCAATTATAGCCCATATATACTATACATATGCATATAAACTAGTAAAAACCTTAATAAGCCATTCTTTTTCTAGTTTCTTCCTTAGAGATTAAAAAAATTGAAAAATTCATTAGGAAACAGTCAATCCTATGGAAGAAACCTAATATGAAAGAAGAAAGTTTTAAAAGTGTTGTTACTAATTAATTTTCTGTTCTTAAGAATATTAAGCTTCTGTTTTGAATAAATTATAATACACGTGTTTATAAATTACTATTAAATACACTTTGTATAGATATATAATACACTTAAAATAGTAAATGAATAAAGATTGGACTAGCTCAGTTTATCCATAAAATAAGAATTGTAAACATTGTATGTATGTATATGTTGGGTGTACATATGTATATTTGTGTTTATACATTTAAGATCAAAAAGATCTACCCACCCAATATTTATAGTGAAAAACCATTTCGTACTGTTTAGTGTACACATTACTAGAAACGGTTTCAATTCAAAAAATAACAAAAATAGCATAAAAGAATGAACTCTAATTTTAAAACATGTTCTAGTACTTCAGCCTCTTTTCATTAAGGCAGTAAGAGACACAATATTAAATTGTTATTTTATGACATCAATTTCACCCAACAGTTTTGGATGGGATTTAAATTGAGTGAATTGTCCAGCCATGGGGCAAAAACAATAATTACATTTTTTTGAAGCCATGTCTTGAATTTTTTGCACCTAAGTTGCCCTGTTGTGCATGAAAATATCAAACTTTCTAATTCCCAACCAAAATGAAGGAATTTTGTTTTTAAAAGGACACTTAAATTAGACATATTCTTAAAATTTCCAAATAATTTTTGGAATCAACATTTTTATTATATTTTAAAAGGTGTAATCAGCCTGACTATTGGTAGTGATTACACTCCAAATCATAAATGTTGAACATCGCTTGACAGAATGAATTGAAGTGTGAGTTTGGTGGCCGGTAAACACTTACTTTTTGTGCTGCAAATGACTCAACTTGCACTTTATCTAAGAACATAACACATATTTACATTTTAATATTTTCAATTCAAAAATATAATATTTGGGATGTAAGGAAGAGTTGGTCATAAGACTCAAAAGATGAGTTTAAAAAAATGTCCAGTCTTATCCTTTGAAAAGGTAAGAAGATAATATTTTTATATTAATGTTCAACTTGCTTTTGTTGGCAAGGCTAAAGGTTTTCTAAATGTTTTTAGAACTTCTAAGATAAAAATGTGCGTTACTAATTTTTTAATCAAAATGCAACATTTTTCTAAAAATAATGAATCTTAACTAATCAATTATTATTTTACAATATTATTGTTATTATTTATTTAAATTTTCTGACAAATAGGTGAATTTATAGTTACCCCTAACACTGATTTGCCTTACTAACCAGCCTCCAGTACTACCAACCTTACTACTCGTCAAACCCAGAACCATTAAGTTGAGTTTTAGAGCTTTACTATTATTAGGAGATAGCAGAAAGAGTTGCATAACCAAAAAAGCAGGAAACAATTTAATGTAGGTTTACATCTACACCAGACTATTATATGAAGTAGGAATGCAAGCTTGTCAACAGAAGTTTTATGCTTGTCTCTAAATAACCTAAATGTTTACCTCTTTTCGTTTCTTTTCCCTGATTTGTTAAATTTTAAAAGCAGGAACTTCATCTTTTGTGACTCATATTTTTATACTGTTGGTCAGCAATGTGTTTTATTGTTAGTAGCAAATGTGTTCATCAAAATTCTATATTCTTAAACTGACTCAAAATCTTCCTCCATTTATTTTACAATATTTACCTAAATGTATTTTCAATTTGTCTGAAACCTACAATTTAAAACATAATTTTAACTTGTTAAAAATCTTTTCTTTTCCTTTTTTCATCAGACTTACTCTCCCTTACAGTGCCCTAATTTAGTCATATCAAAACAATCTAGTCAGCTTTTATTTTGTTTTTGTTTTTTAAAGCAGTAAGAAATCTTATATTGGATAAACACATGGTGATTTATACTGAAGGCCTATTCATTGCGCAACTGTAAGCTATGACTGATCTTTTTTTTAGCAACAATGCAAAAATCTTATTTTTAGCAACAACTTTAATTATTTTTAGCAACAATGCTATAAAAATTTATAAGTTTGAGACAAAATTTAACTAATAATGAATTTACGTAATCTATTTACGAATGAATGAAAAAAACTAGAATTTTATATTTTTTTAAATTTTAGAATTTTTTTTGTATAAATTTATGATTACACAATGCTTTTAATGCAAATTCTTTATAAGATCTCAATTTAATTTGACCTATTATTTTTCCAATTTAATTATTTTTAGCAACAATGCTATAAAAATTTATAAGTTTGAGTCAAAATTTAACTAATAATGAATTTACGTAATCTATTTACAAATGAATGAAAAAAACTAGAATTTTATATTTTTTTAAATTTTAGATTTTTTTTTGTATAAATTTATGATTACACAATACTTTTAATGCAAGTTCTTTATAAGATCTCAATTTAATTTGTGCACAATTGTTTAAATATATATTAGTCAGTGTTTTGCATTTTTTCTGGTTAATTTAAAAAAAGTGAAATTCAGAAACTAAAAATCACTCAAAGACTTAAAGTAAACTTAATCGTTTATTGAATTGATTTACACTAAACCATCATATTATAACAACTTTTACATCAGCAGAACATGATTTTTTAAGTCTTATTCTGGAGTTTATTTGTTCATACAGAAAGTTCGAGTTTAATTCTGCAATTAAAATCATCATATAGAAATTTAGGACCCCCTTTAAGACAAATTCCCATCACAGTTTTTCACCAATAATAAAGTATAATCTAGAGATTTACCAAATAATATATCTTTTTTTTTTACCAATATGCTTGATTGTGAATAATTGCAAAACTTGTTCGTTGTTACAAAATAATTAGTCTTTGATTTTAAAAAAAAATCTGGGTCATTGATTTTCCAAACATTTAATTGTGTGTCATAGTGCTAACCGATGGCTATTGGAAATCAGGTCTTAATTGATTGTATAAAAAACAATGTTGAAAAATTTTTAAAGCTACATATAATTACATCTCAATTATTTTGTTTCTAATTAGCTTTGTACACATAGCTGTTATTTTTTGCTGAATGATTTTGTTAAGATCTGTCTTCATAACAATTTTAAAAATGTATTTTTTCATCAAACTTTCCTGAAATTGATTGTAATACTTTCAATGTTTGGATTAACATTGTTTTTGTCAAAAAAAAATTTAAAATATAATACACAGTTATCCTTTCTTTTAAATGAAAATTCTACTTGGCAAATAAATTTTTATTAAGGTGTGCAATCCTTTTATCAAATTAACTTATAAAGACAACTTTTTCATTTATAAGGGACTGATAATAATATTAACAAACTTCCAATTATAATATTAACGACCTTCATTTATAAGAGGACTGGTTATAATATTAACAAACTGCTAAAGACTAAAAAGAGTTAATTTGAGCTTAATAGAGTTTTGGCTTTAATAAAATGTTTCAATTGATAATAATTGTTGGTATAGGGTTTATTGAACAGTTTAGAGTTATACGTTTAATCATTTTAATTTTTTTTCAACAATGTATACTTAGTGCTAAGGTTTTTGGTAACAGCATAGTTACCTCAGTTGATAAATTAAGATTTAATTTGAAGATTTAAATGAATGGTATAAGTAAAACTAATTTGCATTACATATATATATATATATATATATATATATATATATATATATATATATATATATATATATATATATATATATATATATATATATATATATATATATTGATTTTAGGTGTTCCAATAGCTATGGCAACATCATTGTTGAAGCGTCTTGAAGATGAAGGTTTTGTTACTGATGGTGGCAAAGGAAAACGGTATAAACTTTTTTTTTTTTAATTGGAAAATAAGATCTTTTTAAAAGTTGTTTCTTAATATCATCATAAATATTAGGTATTAAATAATTTAAACAAGCCCAAGTATTTTAACACTTTAAAATTAAGTTAATGGTTTTAAAAGTATATTTAAATGAAACAGCGCAAATTTATTTTTATCTTTGACTTTTGTTTTCAGAAATCAACACAGTGTTACTTAATTAGCAAATTTAAACAAATTTTTTCAAAGTAATATACATTGAAAAAACATACTGTATACTAAATTTTTATACTTTATTTAAGTTTAACATTTTGTGCATGAGATCAGTTATTTTTTTTAAGTTTTGGTAAGCTTGTTCAAAAGAATGAAATAACTGAACTTGGATTTACAAAATATTTTCACATTAATGAAAACAAGAATAGAAATGAGGTATGTTAATCATAAACTATGGTATATAGTTTGTACTATATATAATAATTTTTTTTTTTTTTTTTTCCTACTGTAAATTTAAAAGCATCTTAAATTATTTTATTAATGTATGTGTGTATATATATTTGTATATATATATATATATATATATATATATATATATATATTTATATATATATATATATATATATATATATATATATATATATATATATATATATATATATATATATATATAAATGCAAACACACACATACATATTAGTATACAGCAATAAGCTCTCTTTCCTATAGTGGCATTGTTACTACCCTATTGGGATTCGTCAAAATTTTAAATTTATTATATGTCTTTTAAGCATTTTACTTTTTAGAACAATTAAGACATTCAAAATATAATTTTGATAAATATGTTCTTGTTGGATATAGTGGTTTTATAATATAGTAACCACATTGAATCATAGTATATATATTTCTAAGTTTTGTGGTTGTCTAAAAAGCCATTTTCAATTTTCCTGAAACAGTTTCGTGCTATTTTATAATTCTGAGCTTATTTGAGAAATCTCTTGATTTAAACTGTTTCTTTAATAAAATAAGGATCTTTCTTCAATATTTCAGGCATGTAGACTAATTCTATTTTTGTTTTTTTGGTTTATTAAATATTAATTTTTGTTTTTTTGGATTATCTGAAATCCAAAAAAACATAAATCATTTTTCTTACTGTAACTGTCATAAGCACTAATATAACATCAACATTGTTAAAAACGATGATTATATACAAGTGTTAAGTAAAACAAGCTGACAAAAATCCATTAAAGTTGCTAAAGGTAAACTAGAGATTTTTTAAACACTTAAAATATCAGCGTTGTTAACTATGTTGAAGAAGATAGTTGTTATCAGCGTTGTTAACTATGTTGAAGAAGATAGTTGTTATCAGCGTTGTTAACTATGTTGAAGAAGATAGTTGTTATCAGCGTTGTTAACTATGTTGAAGAAGATAGTTGGCTAGATAAAATATATTCTTTAGATATATTCTTATTAAAATAAAGAATATATTCTATAAAATATATTCTTTATTTTAATATATATGTTTGTTATTGTACAAAATTATATTGCTTTTACCTGCTAACAAATTAGTTTAAAAATCCACCTGAAAATTGTGTGTATTTTTTTATTTTAGTTGCTTTTTACTTACAACATTACTCCTTTCTCCTTTAAAACAATTGATTTTGATAAATTATTTGAATTTTTAACTAAATAGATTGCCTTAAAAATATGAAATAGAAAATTTCAAATTAAATTTAAAAATTAATTAATCTAAAAAAATAGGAGATAACATAAATTTCATATTGGCTCTAAATATTTAATGGGATGGAAAAGTTATACTTTGAAACCACTTTGCTTTATACTCTTATAGAGAAGTTACTGTTTTCATTCTTAAAAAAATAATATAGTAGCTATTTTTTATGTAAACCTATACTATAGTTACACTATAGTGACACTGTAGCATCGAATTGCTATAGTAAATCTTAAACTATATACATATCTCAACCTGTATACTATAGTTACGCAATAGTGACACTGTAGCCACTAATCCATATTGTAAATCTTCACAAAAATGCTAAAACTTTCTCCTATACTACAAGCACTCTTTGCTGTAAAGATCTTTCATATTAGCGGTTTTTTTAAAATATAAGTTTACAGTTTAAAATTTATTTTTAGGTTTAAAATAAGTTTTAAATACTAGTAATGCTTTACTTAGATTTTACTTTAGTATACATCAGAAATTTTTTACTTATTTAGAACTTTTATTTTTTTCTTTCTTCTATTTTTGGTAAAACTTTTAATTTTCAATGTCTATTTTTGGTAAAACTTTTAATTTTCAATGTCTATTTTTGGTAAAACTTTTAATTTTTAATGTCTATTTTTGGTAAAACTTTTAATGCCTATTTTTAACTTTTAATGTCTATATTTGGTAAAACTTTTAATTTAATTTTTGTTGAATACTTTGAACTTCAATAAATTTTAAAATGTTATTTTAATAAATCTTAATCATAAATTTTACTTTCAACATAGGATATTGAAATGATGACCGAAAGAGCATCTGATCTCGTCATTACTTCTAAGCAAGTTTTGTCAGTGGCGAATGTAAGTTTTTAAATTTTATTATTTTTGTTATGGTGGTGACTATCTTGATTAGAGATGTCAAAAGAGTGTATAGTTTTCTAGATCTTAAAATAACTTACTTGGCTGTAAAGTTTCAAATGGCAGGTGTAATTGCAAAATATTTTAAGTCAATGTTATCTTTTTATAGGTTCCCACCTATTTAAAAAAAATTTTTGTCTATTTTAAAAAGCATTTTTCTTGCCTATTGTGCTTTTCAAACCATAAACAAACTTTCAAATAATTTAAAAGTATAAGATTAATAAATTTAAACGTTGTGATATTGGTTAATCACTAAAATGCATATATTAGAAGAAAGATATATTTTCATGTTTAACAAAATGATGCTTTTTTGGCAATCTATCAACTTATACTATGTGTATCTATTTAATATGCTAGTAAAATTAATTTAAGATGGTAGTAAAATGCTTCAATCATCAGGGATTATCTTTTTCTGGATATTTCCGGAATTCCGGAAATATCCAGATATTTTTTAAACTTTCAGTTTTTCCGGATATTCAAAACATATTTCATAAATACAAGTATAGGTATATATTTTTGTAATATATTTGTTATTTAAGCCTTTTCACTCATCAATCATAGAAAAATTATGAAAAGTTTGAAAAAAATCTTAAAACAACTCAGCTAAAAGCAAAGTTAAAAGGAAAATAGATTCCGGATTTTATTTCCGGACTATCCAAGCAATTTTCCGGATTTTTAAAAAATGACTTGGATGATCCAGTTCATTTGTTAAAAATCCGAAATACAATGATATGTATCATTTATTTGTAACAAAAATGTTACAAATAAATGATGCATATAATTTATTTGTAACATTTTAATAATAGATAAATTTAGAGCAAAAATAAACATGCAACAAAAAAAGTTAAATAATTTTAGGATATGAAATATAATAGTGAATTTTACATAATTAATTCAATATTTTTGTTTAATTCTTTTTTAAAGGATGTCAACAAAAAAAATTATCTTTGAAAAAATTCAAAGATTATTTCTTTACTTCATAATTTTTAAATAAACAATTTAGAATAACCAAATTGTTATTACTGGCAGTAAAAGAAAACATGCTGTGGAGGAAGCTGTTTCTTTTAAAAACAAGGTATTTTCTGAATTCTTTATTTATTATATTTATTGAATTCTTATTATATATATATATATATATATATATATATATATATATATATATATATATATATATATATATATATATATATATGTGTGTGTATATATATATATATATGTGTGTGTATATATATATATATATATATATATATATATATATATATATATATATATATATATATTTGGGGTGTTCAAAAAAATGAAATTTTCAAAACGCAAACACAAGAAGCCAAATTTCAGGCAAAAAAAATTACAAAAATATTGACGTTTACTTTGTGCTTAAGCGGCAAAATACCCCGAAAAATGCCAAAATTGTTCCTAAATTATTTGGCTTTGAGTGCAAGGTAAATCAATATTTTGTAAAAAAAAAAAATTCTAATGTGATCATAATGGTCCAAGTTTTTTATTTAAATTGATGTGTATCCTGGTTTTTTCATAAGTGTTGTTTAAAATAGGAAACGATTTATGCACAAAAAAAACTTTTTTTTTTTGCGTATTTGCGCAAAATTCTTTTTTTGCGCATTTGCGCAGAAATATTTTTTTGTAAAAATATTTTTTTAATACAAACAATAATTATGAAAAGACTAGGATACACATCAATCTAAAAAAAAAAAACTTAAAACCATTATGATCACATAAGAAAAAAATTTTTTACAAAATATTAAGATTTACCTTACGCTCAATGCCTAATAATTTAGGACAATTTGGGGCAAATTTTCGGGATTTTTTACCGTTTGAGCACAAGGTAAACGTCGATATTTTTTGAATTTTTTTTTTTTTTGTAATCGCATTTTTTTTATATTCGCCCTAAATTTGGCTTCTTGTGTATTCGCGTTTTGAAAATTTTATTTTCTTGAACACCCCTAATATATATATATATATATATATATATATATATATATATATATATATATATATATATATATATATATATATATATATATATATATATATATATATATATATATATATATATAAACACACACACACACACATTATATATAAAAAATTTATGTATCAATTTTTTTTTGACGACCTGATGCCGACCTCTAACAGTTTAAGGTGGGCAATTTATTGCCGACCTCATTTTTTCTAATTCCGAGGGCTGATATATATATATATGTATATATATATATATATATATATATATATATATATATATATATATATATATATATATATATATATATATATATATCTTTTAATATTAAAGAAAAAGTTATAACTATTATTTTGTAGGTTTTATTGATTTACAAAAGTTTCTTTTAAATTGTTTTTAGGATTTGCGTTTTGAAATTTCAAATAGTCAAACAAGCCCGATTTCACAGCAAGAGTTTTCTGCTAAAAAAAAACGAAAGGCAAGCGTTTCCGCTGAGGCTATGTGTGTTTAAAAAAATGTGTATATAGAAAATATTGTGTTTCTAATTTTTTTAGTATAATAATACTATAAATATATATGGGGGAGGGGGATGTTCTGCATTAGCTGTTCATAATTCCTTTAGTATTGTTTAATTGCGAATTAAACATTAGTATTGAAACTAATATTATTAAATTCAAATTTGTATTTTTATTTAAACAAACCCACCTTTCTCGCTCAATTAAATCTATTACAATCATTTTTTTATGAACTTGTAAATGGTGCGTTAGATTTTTATTTAACTATTTTATTTTTATTCGACGCAAAACAAAGAAAGGTGGTCTTTACACAAGTTCATTTTTTTTCTGCTTCTCGTAGTTAATAAAGAAAAACACGTTCAGCGAGTATTTTTGTGACGCCTTTGTATGATGTAAAGAATACGTTTTGGTTTCTCTCGTTAAAGAAACTAAAACGTTAAAATAAAAATACCCTTCTTTTTATTTGTGCTTTTGTTTATTAAATCAAACTTGTTTCTTTTTTCTTTTTATCTGTTTATTGTTTTAGCTCTATTTCTATTGATAAATTTTAGCTTATTTGTTAAATTTATGCATTAATTATTTTTATGAATTGTTGAATTTATATAAATTATTTTTTGAACGTAAATTGTTTAATTTAAAATTGTAAATTTGTGTTTTGGTTTATTTATATAATTTGTTAAAAGTTTGTGTTTAAAAGTTATTGCTACAATTTTGTGCCATGTTGATATAAAATTTATTAATGTTATGTCAGTTTAATAATATTTAAATTCAGTTTATAATGGGAACATGTGTTTAAAAAAAAACCATGCTGGTAATAGGGCCTAATATATTTTTAATATTCTAATATTTGAAATAATATTTATAAAAATGTACGAAATTTAGTCTATGTTATTGTAACTCGATTTGTTTTAGATTTTACTTCTCAATATCCACTTTTAAAAATTCATTAAATAAGTTAGGACTAATTACTTTGCATGGGCTGTAGTTTTAAGCTTCCCTTACTATTTACTGAGTTATTTTTCATGACACGTTAGTGATATCTAAATTTAAAAGTTATTTTATTTTTTAAACTTGTAATTTTCTTGTTCTTTTTGTAAATATATCATACTTATTTGAGTTCAGTGTTTTTTTGCTTTTTTTTCCTGCAACAATATGTTTAATGAATTATGTAGTTTAAAGTATAATACTGTTCTTGATGGGCTACTTTTGATAGTTGCCATGTTTTTTTCATTGTTTTTAAACGTAATTATTTTTTGTTCTGTTTTTATTATTTATATCATAAATATTAGAAATCAGCGTTTCTTTTTATCTTTTTCCAGCAACAATATGTTGAATGAAATATGTAGTTTAAAGTATATTACAATTCTCGATGGGCTATTTTTGATAGTTGTTATGTTTCTTTCGTTGTTCCTAAACGTTATTATTTTATTCCTCATGTACAAAAAAACAGCATTTCACACGCCGGCTGATGTTTTTCTCGGTTGTTTATCTTTAGCAAACATATTTATTTCTATTGGACCAATACCTCTATGTTTTGCAGTTTATGTTTATTGTGGACTTCCAGCTATTATTTGGAAAGTTTACAAAATTGTTGATATAGTAGCAAATGTAACCTCCATAACGTCACTGTGTATTATTTCTTGTGATCGATTTTATATAATTATGTTTCCATTCAGTTATGAGCGAAACATTAAAATTAAACATGCTTTTTTTATTTCTGCCGGTGTTTGGGTATATGGAATTACAATATCACTTATGTTTTTATGTATGTCTCAAAAATTTTATCTGTGGTTTTTGCTAATCACTTCTTACTTTATACAAACATTAATCATGGTACTTTGTTATATATTTATTGCTATGGTGGCTAAGAAACACGCTAAACATATATTTTCGCAACAAGTTCACAATAAGTTAAGCTTAGAACCTCGTTTTGTAGGTGAGATGGAGAAAAAATTAGTCGCGGAAAAAACAGCATCAGCTTGTAATTTGAACAAATTTCATGTTCAAAAAATTTATAATAAAAATAATGATCATATCATTAAGAAGTCATTTGTTGGGTTAGAACATTCTGCTCATTTAGCTAGTCGTACTTTTAAGGTTGATGCTTCACGGAGTAAATCATTATCCTTACCTGCTAAAGACAGTTTTTTAAACAATTTAAAAAGAAAAAAGAGTATTTGGAAAAACGATATAAAAAGAAAAGTTTCTGTTAAAAATGACCGTTGTATTTTAACTGATAAGAATTTGTTAGATTTTCAATCTAATACTACAAATTCCAAAAACCCAGGAAAAAAAAAGCTTTCTTTTGGTTTAGAAATCCCTAATTCTTTAGAAACAATCAGCATAGAAAAACAAAATGGCTACAGTACTTTATCACAGTTTAAAATAGATAATAAAATCAATTTAGTTGAAGTTCTACCTTACCATTCTAATTTTCCTAGTTCTACGTCAAGTGTATCAAACAATACAAATTGTTCTTTGGGTTCTAGTGGTGCCAACCCACCCGATGAAATTCCAAATATATTACATAAAACAAAAAAAGAAAAGCGAACTCGTAGGTCTTTTATAAAAAATATAAACATTCATGTAACTTCTGAAAATGATTGCTCCAAATTAAATAATAGTGGGTTATTGGTGCCAGATACTAACAAAACGAATTTGAGTTTAAGTCTCCCTGAACTCACATCAAAAAATAAGTGCAATTCAGAAAAACCAAATTATAGTTTAATTACGCTTCCTCGCAATTGTGAGTACTACCCGCGTAATTACAGAACAAATTCAGCCCCAGCTTTAATTAAAGAAAAAAGAAACAGCAGTTTTGCTACTACATTAAAAGATCGGTATATGCTACTTCGTTCGTCAATTCCCTGGCGAAAAGAATCGATTAAAATTGTTATGCAAATTCGCAAGTTACGCGCTGAACTAAAAGCTTCAATAATTTTAGCAACCCTAATGGCAGTCTTTTTATGTCTATGGACCCCTTACATAGTAGTTATCATACAACAGTGGAAAGATGGTATTTTCCTTAACAACAACAAAGTTAGCATAGAAAAAGTAAAATACTATAAGTTTATATATTATTGTAGTGCTACAGCGAACCCCGCATTTCTAGTAATCCTGTATGCAAAATGGCGTCATGCTTTTATTGTTACAGTTAAAGGTTTGTGGAGAAAACTTAAAGCATGTCTGCAACTTTATTGTTGTTTAAAATAATTTTACATATTTAACGTTTTTGAAGATATTTAAAATATTAATTAGAATTTAAATTAGTTACAGATTTGTACAAGTGATTTCGTAAAATTTTTAAATTCGCATATGATATGCAATGTTTTGGGTAATATAGTTCCATTATTAGTTATTACAAGTAAAGAAAAAAATTACTTGTATTAAATGCTAAAATGTGACTTGTATTTTTGTTTTTATTACTTAACATAAAAAAACATTGAATAAAGTACTAGACGCGTTATGAGTTTTCTTGATGAAAATGTCGAGTTCCTTAAAGACCACGTGTATTTTTTTGTTACATAAATGATCTCAACAAAGTTTCGAATTTAACGACCACAAATTTTGCGGATGATCATATTTGTTTCAGTAACATAAAAATAAAAATAAAACTTTTTAATAATATGACTGATAGTTTTTTAAAAAAATAGATTAAATAATCTATTTTTTTTTTTTAAACTAAATGGATAATCTTTTACCCAACTTAAAAAAAAAAAGGAAACTTTAAAATATCGTTTCTGACCTATTTATTGTCAGCACAATATAAAAATAAATAGAAAATGTTACAAAGTTCCTAAGCGATAACATTAGAAACGAAAATTATCTTGGATACAACAAATTGATAATATTTGCGTAAAAATACGTAATCCTAAAATTAAAATGAAAGTATAAAATATTTACACATTAATATAAAACATCGATAAAATATAAACTCATCAATGTTAATCATGCTGCACTTAGGATGTTCTTGATTGGTTGGGCAGTCAAAGAAATAAAAGTTTTGAATTAACGATGTTTTATGTAATATGAATATATATAAAGAAAATTTATCTCATAGTGTATTTATACAGTAAATGTTATCGTTTTGGTAAAAATATTAAAAAGCCATTTTATATTTATCATCGTGGTCCCTTTTTTTCTACGGAATAAAATAGGAACCGAACTTTAATTTTTTTTTTTTTAAATTTAAATAAACATATTCTACTTTTCAACGGAAAATAAATGAAATTATCTCTACAAAATGTTTTTTTAATTTTAAGATTAGTTATAAGTTTAGTTAAAAAATCTTCAATTCTATAGCGGGGAAGGGGTGAAAAGGGTAAGAGGGGGACTTAGGTAGATAAAAGGGCTTAAGAATGATTAATCCACAAACTCCAAAATAGCATTTGTGGTCAAAGTTTGTTTGATTCTGCAAACATTTTTTTTAAACTTATTAAAAACGTAAATAATCTTAACGTGAGGCTAATCTAAACAGATTATTATTATTATTTTTTTTTTTTGAAAAAAAAAAAAAAAACATGCATCCGGATTCTTTTTAAACTTATTCCAGTCTAGCCTATCTAAATCTTATTTGTTCTATTGACAATTTAATTAAATAAAGTTTAATTATGAAAATAAAAAAACTTCTGGAAAAAAAACATTAGAAAGAGGTGACACATGCTCATGCCTTAGTGTCGTTGGTCTACGAAAGAGGAATCTCATCGGAATTCGCAAATACTGAAAGAAGCTGGTAGCTACTTCTAGCATAAAGCTCAGAGCTGTAGCTCTGAGCTATATGCTACTTTAGAAGCAATACGTGAAGTTGAATAAAAGGTTGTAAAAAAAAAGGTACAACGCGCAGCTCTTGAAATATGTTGTATTATAAATGCGCATTTTGTTTAATGAGCAAATAATTACACGTTCTGTGAATTTTGCAATCTTATCACCAAGTTTACGGATAAAGCAAGTTTTTCCGTTTCATGAACTGGGCGATTTCACGATCTGTGCTAACGTTTCTCGCATTTTTGTTTCATTTTGTAAATTACGTCTTAAAAATTTTGTTTTTTTGTATTGGATCTAATGTAATTATAGTAATTATTGAACTTATAACATTGCAATTTTATTACGACATGTCACTATCTAGATATCGCTGCTTTGTAGCGTTTTTTTTGGCATATAAAAGATAGTTAGCTACATATTGTAGCAATAAAGCTTGCTACAACATAATGACAAATCTGTAGAAAGTTGATTACTATAATCGCACCTTTATAGCTAGCAATGTTATTATTCTATATCGATAGCTACAAATTTTAGTAATGTAGAAAACTACATTATAACTATAAATTTACAGGTAATCAATATCGCTAGCTGAAGAACTAACTTTTTAGCTAGCGGTATTATTGTTATTTTACAATTACTTACTATAATATAAGTCTGTATCTCTTAGATAGCTGTATATTGTAGCTTAGTAGCTATCAACAAGTTGTTTTCGATAAAACTACTAAAATAATAATAAAAAAAGAAGTAACTACAAAGAAAAAAGGTTCAGGTGGTATAAATTGAAATTTTGCGAGTATATGCAACAACGCGTATTATGTTAACATGGTTTACGGAGCAGTTTGCGACTATAACAACTAAATAAGTTAATATTATGTAATGATATTAATTCTAATATTAAC